AAATTAAACTACAAGCTTATTGGCTCCGATTAAATTAAAAAAAAAAAAATACAAAATAAAAATAGGACCATAAGTCCACAATGGTATATTTTAGATTTCAGACATAATTTTGAAAAGAAAAACTGTTTTGAAAAGTATAAAGCTTAACTAATAACTTTACTTGTTGTTTTGTTCGTACAATATATAAGTATAATACCAAGATATAATCGTCTGTATAATGTAATAATACTTGTATATAATGTATTTAACAATATACTTTAACATCCTATAAACATAATCAGTGTACACGTAAACACAAAAATCAGCAAAACACCTCATAGTAGTTATTGCAGTTCAGTTAAGCGTAAAATATACATTTATGTTTTATTGAAATTGAAGTATAAAATATTTATTACCATGTCTACTGTTTTATAATTTCTTTTTTAGTGCTCATAAAGCTGTTTACCAATATAAATTTATTCCTGTATCAACACTGTTTAAATTTACAAAGTGTAGCAATGAAATTAATGTCTCCTTTTTACTGTCCAAATTAACGAATATTTCTAGAAAATATAAACATAATATGTTATGCTAGATCCAGTAGATCCGGTCTAGATAATAATATTATTAAATATTTTTATTTGCTTAGGATATATAGAGTTTTATAGGCGCTACATAAATTTAATTCTACTTTTCTAGAATACGAATAACTGTGTGGGTAGACGTGTATGTATGTATAGTTATTTTGAATAATATTTTTAAATTAAATTTAAAAAAATTATAGCTTCATAAAATTTAAATGGTAATAAAAAAAAGTAGTTAATGGAATAACTACTAGTTCTATACTTCTATGTGCATATAATCAATTTTATCGCGGTTATTATATCGTAATTCAAAGTTGAAATTCATCGATTTCATCGTTGTTTTACAATTATGTCATGTAGCATTTTGTTGTTATTCACACTGCATCAATACTCTCGGAATAAAAATTAAATCATAAAATTACTTGTTTCCTTATTTTAAAACGCATTCCTTTCCACATACCTAAAAATAACTGCARAACATCCTCTTATTTTTATACAAAATCCCACTGAATTCATTATGGTTAAAATAACATCTTTGAGAGAATTTTTATGTTGAGAAATTAGTCCGGAGTGAACATTTTCCTCCACCTACTAATTAAGCATTTCCGAATTTCGTCAAAAGACGTATTGATTTTTTAATTGTTTCTCTTTATTTTTAAAATTATTGAAGAAGTAAATGTTTCATGCGTGCCATATGTTTGAGACCACTGCAGTACTGCGTATAGTAGAAATAAAATATTTCAATTAAAAATATTATATACATTAGACGCAATGATTTTATATAGGTAGACATTTGCGTACTCGACTTAAATTTCAGCAGTGAGACTAGTGTGTTAGCGTCATTAGCACTTAATTGCATCTTATAAAAGGTATACCGTTAAATCAATTTACACGAGTTTAATAACATCAGTAGTAAGTACGCATTATGAGCAAGTTCATAGAAAATATATCATTATTACGATGGCCATTAAGAATACTTTATGGTCATCKATTCAACGCAGAAATATATTAATACGAAACACATTAATGCTGCGGTCTTAAGCTGTATAGCGTATCCTCACCCCGTTTAATCGCCGTGTATTCATTACAATCTCAATGTCTTAAATATTCTAACGTTTAATTCAAAAACTGTAAAATCTTGACTATTCCTAAACTTTAAATTAAACACCTAAACCCGCTAACTATTTTTTTTACGTTTAGAATGCATTATTACATTTTATAGTAGCGATTCTCGAACATCGGGTCACGACTTCTTTGGTGGTTGTTAACAAATTGTTTGGGTGTTGGTCACCAACATGTCATAAGCATAACTCATATAGCATAACATAGCTAGAAAGAGTTTTTATAAACAAWTTTTTTYAAATTAACTAGATTGTTCTAAATTTTAAATTTTAGTATAATGAGCTCATAAAGTATTTACGCGGTTTTTGTTTTTATTTTATAAAAAATGTTTAATGCAAACATTACACAAAGGTTTAAAAACCACGGTAATAATAAGATGAGTCATTTAAAAGGATGAGTATTTACCAATGTTCTATAACATAATACCATTATTTTTGTTTGAAATTAAAGAATAGATCTGAAGTGAATAAACTGAATTAAAATAATCTAATGGAATACCAACTAGAAGGAATTCCTTTATTTTAAGAAAATAGTTAATAAAATATTCATAAAATTACGAGTTTCTTCATTATTAGTATGACTTTTTTATACTTTACTTTGCTTAATGAAGCTTCAATCAACATCTGTTTTATTAAATTTACTGTGCAAACCACTACAATATTATCAAAATTAGGTTCAATTAATAGCTTATAAATTATAATAATCAACTATTACTACAACTAATTCAATTATAAAAATTTAAAACCAATTAATTATTTTACTATATGTTAAAATATAAACAAATACTTATATGTATCTAGTATCAACTTATAATGTATGGGGCTAACCTACCTACTATTATTATTAATGATAAGTAATTTGTTGTACACAATATTCATTTGGTTTACACTTACATATTTCATGAGGATATAATATTTATATAAATTAATTTTAAAAATTATATGTTTTATTTTTGATTATTATTTATTTAATTGTTTAAATACTGATAACTACAATATTAATATTACTGTAATATCTTTAACTAATGTGTTATACATATTTATTGCCGTATCATTAAAATTAGAATTATTTTTAAATAATTTTTTACTGTTATTTTTAATAAAGCAGTAAATATTAAATTTTTCGAAACATGAAGAGGAAAAAATAAGAAATTAATCTTATACATGCCTAGTCTTATTATTGTAAAAACAATGTTAACCTTGTTAATTTTGACATGTTTTTAATGAAAATAACTCGTGTACCTTTTATGTTAACCCTGCTATTACAATAACCAAAACAATATTTTATATTAGTAAACATCCGGCTAGAATTCACACCTTTRTTGTGTGTGTTGAGTATTTAAAAAGAATATTGTAAAACTTCTTGAATATAACCACATTTAAAAAAAGCGAATACCTATTTTCTTGTTAAGGAAAAAAATAATTAAAAAATAATATTACACTCTCTGTTTAAGATGTCACTTTAAAAATTGAAATTGAAATATAGATTTGTACTGTGTTCAATAATTATATGCTAAACAGCATAGCTATCAAATAATTGAACAAACCTATATTTTGTAGTATACCGCCATCAATCACTGACTAACGATTAACGTTGCTATTAAGTATTAACTTTATGTAAGAAAATCATACATTCAATTGATTCTGCCAACTTTGATTTCATCTACGTCCAAACACTTAATTTCATAAATATTACAATAATATYCTCTTCTACCTAGTTACTGAAGCACTTTAAATAACTAATGGTTTTTTGAAAAAGCAACAGTTATAAACCTGTATGTAAACTAAGAATGAGATAATCTTTACAAATATTTTTATCTTATCTGTAGTTTTTACCATTCGGTTTTACCGAAATATTAATGTCATATACGTATTTATACTTTGAATTCGTACAATTTAAATAAACAATTTTTTTGGCTACATATTTCACGGTAATTTGTGACACATCGGTTGAGAAATACCGTTCTAAGGTGGTCTAATACCTACGCAATTGGTGCCGCGCGACTTATAAGTGAAATAAAAATGAAAATTCCCATTGTCCATAGTTTCATCATTATGTGTGGCCACCTCAACAATTCCCAAACATGTATCTTACACACTCTAAACTTAAAACAGGTTGTGTAGCATAAATTTGTAGTTATATGCAAACAAAATAAATACCTATAAATAATAATAACCTATACCTAGGTACTTGTTAAAACATTCACATTTCTTATTAGTTACTCTAACACTACTATATTAAATTTATTTAACGAATAGGTAGAGAGATGTGAATATCCGTATAAATTAAAAAAATAACTTATGAGAAAAAGTATTTTCATTATTTAAGGGTCGTTTATTCTGTTTCAATAATGAAATTCAGCGTGTGTACATTAAAACCCTCATTTAATGTTTATACTACGAAAATTCACATAAAAACTTGAACGACATTAAACTTCGAATAAAGTGTTGATAATAAATTTTAGCTGTTTTTTTTCCAAAATACTAATAATAATTTATTTATTTTAATCATTATTTGTTTTCATCATATTTTTATTAATACCGTTTAAACTTTGAAGTAATGGCAGTTGAATAATTCTCATTTTATAATCCCTTCGCAAAAAATTTTTTTGTATGTTAACTTTAATTTTTGCGTATTCTTTAGAATTTAGTTTGACTTATACACTTCCGTGTTATTATCTCAAATAATTTAAAACCAATAATACCGTCTATGAAAAAGTGCTTAATGCATGACTATACTTAGGTTAGGTTAGGTTCAATTCTATTGATGGAATATAATATAATATGGAAGATGAATAAAACATATTGTTATATATACCAGGGAAACTTCCAACTCGTTTTGAATACCAGAGACTAGTATCTATAATACCATTAGGTTGTCATGGTCAACGTATATGACTTTGAAAGATTTTTCAAGTAAATCTAGTCTCACGGGTCACGACCAAGAGTACCTATTACAGGAGAATAATTATTATTTTATACCTCTATGTATTATAATCTATTTATTTTATAGATTGGTAGGCAAATATTTGTATTGACGTTGAAGTGTATCGCTCAATAATATTTATTATTACAGTCAATATGGACTATTATCATATTATATAAACGAGACTTGGAAAATGTATTCATAATATTTGTGTAATTTTGTATTGTGACAACGTTCCATTAGAAATCATAATKATAACCRTAAAATGGCCAGAAAAACATAAGTTGGTTAATAGTTTTAGCAGTAGCAGTARTTCGCAGCTATTACTGTGTACTATAACATTATCGTTGWACATAATAAAAGTGTACGATATAATGTCATGGACCGAACATGAAACCTGATAAAGTGATCATTAAACAAGTCAGTTTAACATTCATCGTTGAAGGATTCACGGTAAATAATTACGGTCGGTCGTCAAATAATATATAGAGAGAAAAAAAGGCTATGGACGTTTTGTCAACCGACTACGATGACGTTTTAAGGGAAGTTTTTTCGTATCCGAGAATTTGAAGTGACATGCATAATAACGATGATTTCGATCCCTCTGAAGACGGAATAAGGGAATAAGGCCGGATACGACTCGCCACGAGAGAGACAGATAGACAAAGTGAGATAAACGGAGATAGAACGCGCGCGCGCACTGTTAACGCGATAATATCATGTTGTTTTCATTTCCTTTTACATAATATACATTTTCTTTGACCCGTGCACAGCTATATATTATGTGGTTTTTACGATCAAAAAGTATTGCAATCACAATTGTATGTAATATATATGCCCGCTGCTCATATAACATATTATATTAAACCCACATACATGGTTTTTATATCATATTAAAATGTATAGTTTTGTTGTCCATCTGCGACTTTATAGTGTGCTAGCTGCCTAGCTCAGACATGTGCTTTCATTCTGGCAATAATTTATTGAAAAATAGCATAAATGTCTTTTATATTAAATTTATTTATTCAAACTAATTAATTCTGTATTACTATTTGTATAATAGCAGATGATGTCCAAAACTTAAATTTAATATGATTTATAACTTAATAATAATTATGTATTTCTAGTTTACATGATGCTCTTTAAATACAATTAGTAATTAAAATATATAGGGTATAACAGAAAGATCTGACAAAAAAAAAAAAAATAAATAAAAAAATATGGTAATTCAACGTTTGATAAAATTTTTTAATATTATATGATAAGTAAATAAATATACTCATGTCAGCAAATTCTCAAAAATCATATTTTTTTAAATGTTATTATGTTCCAAATTAATTAAACAAAAAAAAATATTCCAAAAAATAAACTATACTTGACTTAGATAAATCTTTTTATCGTCAAAATTGTTCTCATAATCAGATTCAAAAATTTTGAATTTATCCAAAACAYYTATTACTAARTTAAAATTTTTATATTTTCAATACCAAAAAATAAACATAAAAAAATGATTATACATGTAGCGTTACCCAAAACTCTGTTAACCCTAATTTTGTTATTATTTCATATTTTTTATTAGTCGACAATGTAAAACAATGTGTTAATTAATTGTGTATTATCAATAACAACAAATAATTATCACCGCTGGTTATCTTGCAGTATTCTCATACAAATCCATGTGTCGCACGACTTTTTTTTTAGTTAGCGCGATTTGAGCGCGAAAAACGCGTGACAAGCGCAAAAATGATGCGATATCTCGATCCGTATGAGAATTTTGCAAAAAATACGACTAGAGTGTTCATTTTTACATTCAAGATAAAATTCTAAAAATAACATTAAAAATCCCAGATTTTGAAGTTAGAAAAAAAAATTCCAAAAAAAT